GGTGCGGAGCAGGCTTTGGCGGGCGCCCGGCCGGTGGACAGTGGTGTGGATTCACTCTTGGAGCGGGGCTGGGGGCGCCAGGGCGAGCTCCGAGGAGAGGGGGAGGCTAGAGAGGCTGAGGGGCTGGTGGCAAGGAGCCAGGAGGCAGTGGCGAGGAGAGGGACTGAGCGGACTTGTTGAAGGGTCCCCCAGCTGGACCCCCAGCCGAGTGGGGGGCTGGCTTCCCTTCCCAGCCACTAGGATGGGGGGTGAGGCCCGAGCGGGTGGCATTAGCCCGCGCCCCTGATGTAAGGCCATTGGAGAGCCCGGAGGCAAAGCTGGGAGGACCAGGGGGCCCAGCTGTGGGGCAGACATGGGGTGGTGACCCCAGCCCCCTGTTAAGAGCTGGGGGTTATTACTACGGCAGAGTCAGGCACTGACTCCCTGTTTCATGGAGCCCTTGGCCCAGGGCTGAGCCTAAATACAGCCGGGGATTCACCCTGGGGGCCTGGGCGATAGGACGGTGCTGAGCCGGTGGGTCCTGTCCCAGTGCTGCAGCCAGTGGGGCGGGTCTGCTGGCACAGACCTTGCTGTCTTTGGTTAGCACCCTCGCCAAGCCGCGGAGCTGGGGCTCGGGGGCGCGATGGGCAGGGTGGGCTGTGTGGGTCAGTGCCCTACGGAGATACAGGACCGACAACCCGCATCTCTCTGTGCGGTGCCCTCCGCCCCGGTTCGGCCCACGGCTTAGGGGAGCGACGGCTCTTTTCTCGCCGGGTCCAGCATCCAGTTCCGCTCAGCTCACCCCTGTGCCGTCCTCCGGGATGTCCTGGAGCCGACAGGCCCCTCGCTGCCGCATGGAGGCAGATTGGAGGTGCCCATGTCTGCGCATATGGCCCGTTTTCCCGGGGCCTCTCACCCCCGGATAGCCCAGCTGGCACGGAGACTGCCCGGCCAGGCACATCGCCGTGGGAAAGCAGCTCGCGCCGAGCTTCATGGGAGCTTGTAATCCACCGCGAAACAGCCCGGCTCGGAACTCCCCCAGCTCGGTTGCACGTGGGCGCACAAATGACGGCACCTCTTGGGCTCTGCTTCTTTCTTCCTAGGGATCAGAGTCTACAGCCCTGTCTGGCAGGCCAGCTTGCCGATGGCTCTACGGAGGCTGACGAGTCCCGCCGGTCCAGGAGGCTCCATCTCCAGTCCTGGGACAGCCATGTCTCCATCCTTCCCGAAACAGGGCTCCTCTCACGCCACCCAAAGACCGCTGCGTCCGGCGGGCCTGTTCTTTCGACTTGTGCGGCTTCCCGTGTTTCCGCGCTGAGCTAAAAGGTCTCGGTACCAACCTACTGGAACGATAATGCATCGGTTGGCTGGGCTGGCCAGCCTGGAAGGCAAGTCCGTGTGCTAATTTGCTGCAAAACCCATGCAGCCTTCACGTCTAGGAGTCGCTAGATTAGTGGGAGGACCCAGCAGCTGTATCCCCTGCACGCAGACTCCCATTTCTCCCCGTGCGGGCTTCCTGAAGGACAAACTCCGCCCAGGGCTCATCACCGCGAGGGGAGAGCCTCCGGTCCTGCTGGGAATGGGTAGCCTGGCAACCCAAGCACAGGCGGGTTTTGCCTCCTATCAAACAACCGCCCGCTAGGGGACCCAGGTCTTCAAGCAGGCCTGGGCCTGTCTCCCCTCTGGCGGGGATCTGAGACTGACCCATGGCAGCAGGGCCGCGCTACCATCCCTGGTTCTAACGCATTGTACTTTGGGCAGGCCTGTGCCAAGCCTACTCTGCTCAGGTGGACGGCCCGGGGGCTGGGTGCGCCCCCTTTCTGACAGACGGAGGCAGGAGCCAGGGGCTCTGTGTGGATCGCGGGTGTGTGGGGGGGGTCGTCCTGCTGGCAGGAGCGACAGCCCGTCTCTGCCACCGATTGTCACCTCTGCACCGTGCCATCCGCAGGGCTGTCATACAGCCGGGCTGCAGGGAGGTCAGTGGCCCGGTGCCGTGCGCGTGGCTGGGCGCTGGAATTGCTAGCGCCCGCCGCAGAAGGACGCGACATTCGCACCAGAGCAGCTTTGGGCCACTAGACCTCTGTGGGGGCTTCTAGGGGCAGGGGAGGACTTGGGGGAGGCGATGGCGCATCCTTTTGTAGGCACAGAGGGCCACGGTCTCCGGCGCCTCGCGGTCAGGAGTCCGTTCCGCCCGAGGGCCAGTTGGGAGGCAGCTGCTTGGCAGCAGGCGAGAACAGCCGGCGCCCCAG